TTAAATAGTTTTTAATATTTTTAGGTAATTAAATTTTAAAAGTGTGGAATAGTTTAGGGATTAAATTGGTCTGATTGGTCTTTCTTAGAACGTTTTTAAAAGCAGCTAAAGATAGTATGTAGAATTGAAAATAATTATTATGCCATAAAAGGTGTTTTGGAATTCCTTCAACCTTTTGAAATTGAGTCAGAAAATATAAATTTTATAGGATAGCGGAAAATACCTATAATTTTTTTGTAGGCCTTTGTAAATCGTGGAAATAGTTTATATTTTATTTCTACCTTATTAGGGAAAATGGTACCTATTATTAATAACGGTTGTTTCTGAAACATTACTAAAATTTTCGAAATTTTGTTTTTCTACAAAATAATAAACTATACTATTTAGAAAAAAATTTATTTCTCTTATAATTTTATAAAAAATAACAGGGGAATATTTACATTTCTTGATCTATTAAACAAAACGATAAATTATCTCGACGAATGACACCATGTTCTAGTACGGAAGCTAGCTTTACATTTTTGTTGGTGGTTTCATGGGTTTCATATCAATTTTTTGTAATTGTAGTTTACACGTACATATACCTCTTAACACTTGTTTGCTTTATTAAAAAAGTGTGTTGTTGTGATTTACGTCGAAATAAGTCAAAAACAACTTGAAACCCCATATAAAATCAAAAAGGAGAAACGGAAAAAAATTGAGCCTGTAAATGAACACAACTTAGAAACAAAAATAGCTATCTAATATTAAAAAAATAAAATTTGATTCTTGTGCAGCTTCATCTATATCATTAACTGTTTTTGGTTTTTTAATGGTTTTTCTTGGTGATGAAAATTCCGATATCTCACGGTTATCGATTCTTTTTTTCTCTCCAGAAATGCGGACGACAGTGTTTTTAGATACTCCTGTGGCTGCAGCAACACGATCATTTACATTTTTAAATGGTATTGAAGGTGAATTAAAGTTTCCTTCTCTTCTCATAAACTCTATAACATTGGCTATTATTTCGCGAGATTGACTGTTAATCACGCGGCCTCTTAATTTGCTATTACACTCCATACTTAGGTTCTATTAAACTGTAATGAGCAAAAAACACAAACGAAAATAAAAGAAATGTTTTAGCGAAATTTACATCTGACATTTACGTCTGAATGAAATAGTGAAATACTTGATGCGCAGAGTGTACTTTCATTGCGTAAATCCGTCGGGATGCCTGTCAGTAGTGCTTTCTCTGTCTAGCCGTCGAAAGCCTCTAGAAATTTGATGAACTGTAGTGGTGTATCGACGAGCCGCCACTGATTAGCTTCTGATAATACATAAGGTTTGTTCGGGTTTCTATAAAACCTGATACAAACCGTCTGAGAAACAGTGGAACAGTTGAATTCCAACTTTTTCATCGCGTATAACTATTAAACTAGTCCTCTGGTATAGTCTATTTTTATGTATGAGAGAGTAATAAAACAGCATTTCTAATGCAAAGCTTAGTACGGTCATTTTAAATATTTTTACAGAATAATCTAAATATTTCCTAAAATTGTAATAAATGTACCTGAGCTATTACAAGTTTTGGATCTTTTATTGGTCCTTTATAAACATAAGCTGTACAGAACAATCGAAAAAGGTTTGGACAGGCCAAAAGCCCTGTGTATTAAATATTACATAGCCGTATCTTAAGATTATTTTCAATAAGTACCTATTTGCCAATTTTGTTTTATTTTAATTCCAAGAATTTCTTACAGTAATCGAATTATAAGTAGATAAATACCTTCCCAACAAATTTCACCGAAAATGCGGTTATAGGTTTTATATTTAGTAAGGAGTTCCAAGTTGTGTATTCTTGATAGTTTACTAAATGTCGTTTAGTTGCAACTTGCAAGGTGCAGTGTGAATTCTAGTGTGATCATGGAAAATTTGGAATGGCCGCGTAAACGACAAAAAATCGGTCCTTTAACAGTTAATGAAAAAACATTAATATTTAATTGTTTTAAATCATTTACAGACAAACATTTATGTAAAAGTGTTGATGACACAGTGGAATTAGTTAGTAGTACGCTTGGTGTTGGGAAATCTACGATTTACAGAGTTGTTAAAGAAGAGAAATGTGGCAAGTTTCAAACAGCACGTAAAGCTCCAGGAAAACCAAAATTTCAATTAGAAAATCTTTTGAAAGAAAGACTTCGAAGGAAAGTGCATGCTTTCTTCTTTAGAAAAGAATTTCCGACAGTAGACAAAGTTCTTGCCACGGTTCGAGATGATAAGGATTACCCTGAAATGAGTCGAAGCACACTATGGAAACTTTTAAAAGAAATAGGTTTTCTATGGAAAAAGCATTCCAGAAAGTCTATTTTAATAGAAAGAAGCGATATTGTAGTATGGAGAAGAAATTACCTAAGGATTATAAAAGAAGTGAGAAACCAAAGAAGAAATATATTTTATTTAGATGAAACATGGATCAACGAGGGACATAAACCAAATAAATTTTGGCAAGATGAAACTGTTACAAGTCGAAGACAGGCTTTTTTAAATAATTTATCTACTGGTTTAAATCCACCATCAGGAAAGGGGCGCAGACTAATAATAGTACACATCGGTAGTTCAAACGGTTTTGTTAAAGGTGGTTTATTGACTTTTGAATCTACTCGTACCGGTGACTACCATGAGGACATGAATGCTGATGTCTTTAAAGAGTGGTTCGAACAAATTATATATCTTCTTCCTCAGAACTGTATAATAGTAATGGATAATGCAAGTTATCACTCGAGATTTATAGAAAAAATGCCCACAACCAAGTGGTTAAAAAAAGATTTACAGAATTGGCTAAATTCAAAGAATATTAAGTTCCATCCCGGTTCTGTGATAAAAGAACTGTATCATTTGTGTTCCCTTCATAAAGAGAAATTCAAAAAATATGAAATTGATGAAATTGCAAAAAATCGTGGGATGACGGTGGTTAGATCACCACCATGTCATTGCGAAGTAAACCCGATTGAACTGATATGGGCACAGATAAAGGGAGAAGTTTCAAGAAAAAATAATTCTTTTAAAATGAGTGATGTTAAACAGTTGTTTTTGGAGGCTGTAAGTAATGTAAAGCCTGAAAACTGGGAAAAGGCAGTAAATCATACGAAAAAAGAAGAAGAGAAAATGTGGAAGTTGGACAATATTACTGATGAAATGATCGAGCCACTCATTGTAAATATTGGTTGAGACAGTTCATCTTCTGATTTCGATTCTGATTTGGATTTGTAGGTAAGAAGTAGTTTTTATATTAAAATTATTATTTATGAACGTAACGTTGTTTAAAAGTCAAAGTTTAAACCCTTATACCTATATAACCCGTTTGACACAATGTTCTTAACATACCTTGTGGAAAAATAAAACATTTTAGAAAAAATTGCACTTTTTTACCTTCAGCTGTATAGAAGTTATAAGCAGGTTAATTAGGTGAAAATATAAGTGTATACTCGAGGAATAACTTCAAAAAATATTTTAACTGTCTACTAAAAGAAGTTGTACGCCTATGGATTACGAACGCTTTATTATTTTAATACTCTTTCATACATAAAAATAGACTATAGTTTCAGGGCCGACTAGAGGGCGGGGGCAGCCGGGACTAATTCCCGGGGCCCGGACTTAAATGGGGGCCCCGGCAGCGGTATAAGGGGGGGGGCGGAGGATTTTTTTCTTTCAGAAATTCGGCACAATTCAAAAGGGGGAAGTTTTTGGTTGGGGACCTTTTTTTTTCTTTAGAGAAATTTAAGTAAAGCGGAGAGAATATTTTTTATAAAATTGTCACGGGGCATGATCTAGAGAATTGTCCTGGGGGCTCGGTCTAGCTCTCGACGGCCCTGGGTAGTTTTCAATGTATTTTTTAGGAACCCGAACAGACCTATAAGAATTAGTCTCATTTTTTAAAAAGTAGGAGATTTCTCAATTCGTCGTAATATTTTTTTCAAACGTTCGTCAGTGAAATACACGTGCGATCTGATTCCATAAATTATATAGAGCAGAAGCTTTCATAGCAACAGAGTGGTCTAATTACTTACTACTGCACTGGAAATATCTCATTACTTACTTGGCGTGAACTAACATTTTTTTTTATTTATAGAAACGAAACACTCCCAGTTGTTTATGAGCGTGGATGTGTAACAAGATTGGATTAATTAAATCAAAATGATACAGTGAGGAAAACCGCAACGATAATGAATGTGTCATAAACAACAATATAGAGATAAAAAATACGCATCATAATGAATTTGTGGTATTTGATTACAAAATGGATAGAATGATGTAAATAATTATGCGATTTTATTTATAATTTATTAATTCTGTTATCAAAGGTTATTAATTGTTGATTTTTATATGTTAATTACTTGTTTTTTTCAATAATCAACAAATGAACCTCAAACTTCAAATCCTATTATCAGTTTTTACTTCAGAAATTACGAAAGGATAAAAGTGCCAAACTTTTTTTTATTCTTTCGACTCAGAACACAAAAAAATCCATTTTTCTGACTTGTAACATAAAAAAATAGATTTGTCTAACTTAGAACCCAGAAATATCAATTAGAACACAACATTTTCACCAAAATTGTTGAGAAAAATAACATTAAACATTCAGATCTCGAATTATGGTACTAAAAATTTCAGTTTTGGATGCAATTAAATAGTTTACAATGAGTCAAGTTATTTTTTTTATTGACAATTTATTTTGTTTCATTTTTGGATCATTAAGAAGTACAACCTTCTCTTATGATTCCGATATCTAGAAAATGTTATGGTTTTCGATTAATATTTTTAAGGTTTGGCAAAAAATGCGTTATTACCAGAAAAATTGTTTGTAAGTATTGATATATACATAAACGAGCAGTACTTACTTCCAATATCAACCAGAAAGCAGATCTGCATAAACATATCCACTGTAACATATCCACTTAATAGTTAAAAGGTAATGTTTCATTTTCAAAGAACTCATATTGAAACTGTTTTTTTTTTTTAAGATCCTTTTGCAATCGTCTACAACAACAGTCGTTGTCCAACAACTTTCTACATACTGTCAGAACGTAGATACCAGTTTAATCTTCTTAAAAACGGAGAGTTCCAGTACTGGTATAATGCGACACAGTCTTTTATCAAGGAATCGGCTACCAAAGAAGGAGGCGGATATTGTATCGAACATTCAAACAGAAAAACAGCAAAAGGTATTATGTTCGTTCTATACTTGCAATCTATGCAATCTCTGTATAAAAATAATTTTAATGTCATGTTTCGTAGGAAAAGTAAGCAAATGTATTATAACAAATAAAGCTTTTATTGTAACAGATCTCAAGTACACAAACAGGTCCTCATTTTAAAGAAATAAACAACAAACAAATTAAAAATATAATCTTAATTATAACTGCGCCTATGGTGAATAGAAACTATTTTATGCGAGCTGTCACTGGGGTAATTTGAGAAGTTCTTACCTGAAAGGCGGAGCTTCTGGACCAGTGGTCGCCAACCTCTCAATGTGTTGAGCTACTTTATTAATTTTGGAATAAACAGCGAGCTACCCACACGGAAGCCACGTAACGCAACGTAAATGAAATAATCCACAGTTAATTTATCATTATATGTATTTATTTTACTATTTAACTGGTAATACATAATACATAGGTACTAATCATAAACTAATAACAAAATAGCTAATATTACTAGTACGTACTTGTTCATAGCTACATTCCTACCTACCAAACGAAGGTGTTTGAAAAATAAACACAAACTTTTATCCAGCCACAACGGCATGTCACGTAAGATTTAAAAATAGTTAATATTAACAACAAAAAAGTAACGCACTATCATGAACCTAAACATTGAAAAATAAAAAAGCACGTTCAATAAGAAGGCTGACACTCAGACTCATCGATAATTTTTTTAATGTTTGCAGTATAATTTGATACAGCCATTCGAATACAATTATCCAAATGTTCATCTATAAGTCGATTGCGATATTTGTTCTTAATAAACTTCATATTGGAAAAAGAAGATTCACACAAATAGGTTGAACTGAATAATGCTTTCACTTTCAAGGCAACACGGCATAGACTGAATATTTGTCTTTACTCACAATAGGCCAGATACATTTGGTACTTGAGACTAACGATTTTAAGGCTAAATCGTTTTGAAACTCAATTACTTCCATTTCTGTTGCAGCGATGTCTTGGCCAAAGTTCTGCATAACACAAGTTGCAAACTATTGGATATCAATTTCCATAAAGGGTGAAACAACAAACTGTGCTACTAAAGCCATTTCGTTGAAATCCTTAAAACGATTTTTGAAGTTATTCTTCAGGGTAGAAACTATTTCTACATGATATTTGCTGTCATAGGGTTCTAATGGATTTTGAGATATTTTTCTGAAAGAATAGGAAAATGCTTGACATCGCTGTTAATTAGGTTTTGTTCCCAAAACTCCAGCTTTTTGATAAATGCTTTTATATCAGAAATCATTTCCGCTAGTTCTTTGTCTCTCCCTTGAAGCTGCAAATTAAGTTCGTTTAATTTCTCTGTAATGTCCACGAGAAAACCAAAATCTCTAAGACATATTGAATTTTCTAGTTCCGGAGTCGGTTCATCGCGTTTTGAATAATCTTCTTTGTAACGCTTGAGCTCTAATCTTGTTCACAATTTTTACCACCAGTTTCATACCGTTGTTTAGTTTCAGGAAATTTCCACATAATGCTTGCTAATGGATAATGCAGTGGTAACAGAGAAATTGCGGAAAAGTTTGATCTTTACGACATAACGCCACCAGATCCTTATCACAACCCACCATAGCTGGAGCGCCATCGGTTGTCAAGCCTACCATTTTCGATATTGGAATTTACTTGGAAGTAATAATATTTTTTTAATGAGAAAACAACTCCTGTCCAGTAGTGTGTCCTTTCAGTGGAATAAACTTCAAAAGATCTTCTTTAATCGTAAAATTACTAAAAACCATCCTGACGAACACGCCCATCTGGGCAGTGTCAACAACATCTGTTGATTCATCCAGTTGAAATGAAAAATAAACACAGTTATCTAAGTCAGTTCTTAACTGTAAAAAAATATCATTTCTCATTACTTCTACACGTCTCATCACTGTATTAGCAGAAAGTTGCATAGATTTTATAGCTGAAACTATCTCGTCTTTATTTCTAAAGTTGGCAAATAACGAATCAGCAGCTTCTAAAAACGCCTGTTTTGTCATTTCCCCGTCTTCATAAGGTTTCTTTTTTTGTGCAATTATCTGGGACACACGGTACGATGCTTCAGTTGCAGTCTTATTTTTGTCGACTGTTCTTAAAAATATTGATTGTTGTCCAATTAACTGCTTTTTTAACTGTTTCAGTTTCTCCTTTCTGGCGGCAGAATGTAGTGGGAATGATTTTTCAAAATTAGAATGTACAGTTTTATGATGTCTCTCAATATTTCCTTTTTTAGCAACGGAGACCGAAGTATTATATAACAAACACACATTTTTATCTTTAACTTCTGTAAAAAAGTATTGTTCTTCCCATTCCGAATGAAAGTGGTATGTCTTTACCTTCTTACAACTGCTTGCCGTAATATTATTTTTTGTTGTTCTCTACTAACCCAACCGCTGGACGTTGGTTACGGGTTCAGTTTTAAACTAAGTGCAATGTCGCCGCGCCGTGCGTATTTATCCCGTTCAAAGCAATCCTGATCGTTCTCGAACACTAACGCGCTGGTCCGGCTGGTCGGTTCTAGCCGATTCTAGCTTGATGGCGTCAGCGGCGGATCGCTCACCGAAACGTTGCCGTTGTTTATGTTTAATATTATGACAGTTAGATTTTTTTGTAGAATTTTCGGAAGCTTCTCTGATTTTTGCAGTTTGTATTTTTTAAATTAAAATCGTTGTGAGAGCTACCAGAATTGCCTCCGCGAGCTACCGGTAGCTCGCGATCGACAGGTTGGCGACCACTGTTCTGGACTTTCTTTTTGCAAGGTTAGATTCAGTAATTAAAACTGTCAATGATTCCCAAGACATGTTATGTCTTTCATTTGAGACATGTGTGGCAAGTGCACATCTTTCCAGGTGTAGTCTGCAGTCTGCAGTATGATGTAATTCGATCTTTTAATCGTCTGCCCGTTTCTCCCAAAATATTGTAAATCACAATTTGTACAAGAGATTCTGTAAACTGCATCCGATAGGAAAAGCTGGAGGGTTTTGTCTTTTTGTTTTTTGTATAAAGAGCCTAACGTTAAAACATTTTTATTTGCAATTTTGATGTTATCTCTAGTATTTAAAATGTTCATAAGTTAAGTAGTAAGATCCTTTATGTACGGTAACGATATCTTACACAATTACTGGCAACAGACTGAGTATTTTTTGATATTCCGGGAATTGGTTTATTTTGTAATATCGTTGTTACATTATTAGCAATTGCTATATTATTATTGATGTTATCGTTATTACCATGGATTGCAACATCAGTGACAATACTACTATAATTGAATAGGATTTTATAACATTTAATTATTTACTGTTTTTAGGTTTCTTCTTTTTCCACTGCTTGGTTATTCCTACCAAGCTGCCACTGAAGTTTGAAGTTACAAAATATCCAAAAATATTATCATGCATTTTTTTGGCGTTGACAATTTTTATTTACCTGATTTTGGCGCAAACGAAAAAATTGTTTGGAAAGATTTTGATAAATTATTGTACGGCCACGTTCTTAATGTTCGCTATATTAATATATGCCCAATTCAGCGTCAAAGCTGGTGATGTCCAATGCAAACTTGTAGGTAAGTCATTTTATTAGATTAAAAAACAATTTACTGCAAATTTTAAAATATGGTATTGCTACAGTCAGAATTGAGAAGTGTTTGTCTTGATTATGATGTTTTATGAACATATTTTGAAGCTGAATAAAATCCTAGCTGACAGATAAAGTAATTCGGGGGTCAATATGTCAACAATTATGGTAATAGAAAATTTATCAAAGAAATCCAAGCAATAAAAATAAAGGTATCAAATGACCTTCATTTTTCTTGTACTCTTGATTGATTCTACTGGTATTTTTTCTTTACAAAAGTGGAATGAAAATGATAACAGACGATTTCAAAAAATGAAGCAGAATACGTAGAATTAGAAAAGAATAAAAAACTAGTAGTTATAGCACAGCTTATACAATTCAGCTAAAACATTCTCTTGGCGGCAACGGTTTGCGTCGATTTCGTCGCGCATCGCTTAAGCTCCGCCTTCGAAAGGAAAAGACGGTTTTGGTGTTCAGAAGCGTACTTAGGTAAGGTGTTGAGTCGTGCGTATAATTTCGTTGATTGTATAATTTCGTGGAGCCTATAATTTCGTTGATTGTATAATTTCGTGGAGCCTATAATTTCGTTGATTTTGTTTGAGTTAAAGGTACTGTTATTATTTTGGTGACTCTTTAGCTATGAGTAGAATGAGTGAAAAAAAAAACATCATTCTGTTTGTGCAGTCAAAAGCTGTTTTAATAAGGGTTATACCTGCAAGAAAACATTCTTTAGTTTTCCCAAGGACCCAAACCGATAAGTACCACATTATAAGAAATTTTCATTGTTAAAAATATAATTTATACAGGGTATCCCATTAGTGCGTTATTGTTCATTATTTTGTTGTAGACACGCAAGAAAGTTTTAAATAAAAGTTATATGGATTTGAAAAATACCTACATATTTTAAAAATATCTACATATTTTAAAAATATATTTGGATATACAGGGTGTCACGTTGTTGCCTGGCAAATTAAAATTTATGTTTTTTAAATGGAACACCTTGTATTTTATTTTATGATAAAATTATTAACTCCCTAAATTATTGTAAAGACGAATTGATACAGAAAAATTTTATCAGGTATGTGTGTGGTTACCTTTTAATAAAAGCCTTGCGGATCCACTCCTCTGCGATACCTGTCTTAAATATAACAAAGATCACGTTGAATTAGATGATTTCTTTTTATTGCTTTTTAAAGGCATATGATAACGCCAATTCAGAGATACATTTGGAAATCTGCAACTGTCAAATGATGAATTTGTAGAACTAATATTCAATATTGAAAAGATATTTCAAAATAATTTTGAAGAATTGGCTACAAAAAATAACATTTGTACCACACTTTTAGAATTAATTAACCCAATACCCTTTAGTCATCCATGCTAACGTTTTCCAAAAGAATAACTTATTTTATTGTATGTTTAATCTCAATAACTAAAAAAATATACTGACAATTAGTTTGACAGAATTGTCATTTACTTAAAATTTTAAAAATAATAGCAGTCGGTTGATCAAAATATGAACGGTGATTGGCGAATTTATTTTTTTTTGCAGTGTTCTCACTACCTAGAATGGATATGAAATATATTCGTTCAATTGAAGGCAATAGCATACTTTTTCGTTTTGTAATCTGTGCATGGATATTAGCCAATCTATGCACATACTACAAAACGAAAAAGTATGTTATTGCGTTCAACTACGAATATATTTCATATCCATTTTAGGTAGTGAGAACACTTTAACAAAATTAAATCTACAAATCACAGTTCATATTTTGGTCACCCAACTCCTATTATTAAATTTTTTTTAAATAAGTGACAATTCTGTTAAACTAATTGTCAATATACATTTTAGTTATTGATATTAAATATAAATTAAAATTTTTGTGTAGACTCGATAAATAATAGCATTTTTGTTTTTATTGTGTCCACATTTAAAAAAAAATAAATTTTAATCAAACTACATGATACTAATTTAATTACGAGTATTAAAACTAAAGTCCTGAAAGTTTCGGTGAATATGAGGACAGAGCATCTGCCTTCCACGCGAAAAGCCCGGGATCGAATCTAGACCGAGGACTAATTAATTTTTCATGTTAATTTTATTTTATAAATTAGTCAACTTCGTAAATTATTTTAAAATTAGTTATTTTGTCTAAATAACCTAAAATATTTTTTTAAATTTGTAGATTTTCGTTAGTGGGTCGTAGAAAAAATATACTGACCATATCGAGTGGATTGTTCATATCACAATCAGACGATTGAGTACTCCGCATACGACGTCGTGCTCAAACTTCGTCTTTGTGTGATATTGCTATCATATCCACCCTTGTTGAACAAACTATAATTTATTTGTTTTCTTGGTTTAAACCAAAACTTAAGTTTTACATCAGAAATAGGAACTAAATTAATTTACTTTTCAAGTTTTCTTGTCAAAATCGATATTACTTTCTCCAAGTACAAATTTAGTACCTACCTAAAATAAGTACTAATTATGTAATATCGTGTAATATTGTAATTCAAATTTCACATTACTATAAAGTTTCAAAATTCCCTACTTCGGTATGGTTAGATAAAAATTGAATATATTATATTAATAAAAACTGTCAAAGTATTACTTCTACAAATCTGTATTTCAATTAATAAGAATACATCTAAATATAACCAATATTGTTAAAATAAAAGCACAAATTCTTTATAATTCCAAAATACCATAGAGTTCCCAGACCTCAGTCGAAGCATTCGTTTATCTAGGTATAAACCCTTTGCGCGAAGAGTAACACTTGCCAGAGACACGGGGTACCACTTGATTTGCATCCACGAGCGTGACACAATTCTTTAACAATTGAAGCCCTTGGTGTAAAAAGGATCCAAGCCACAATTTGTCGTGAAGTGACTGTTTTAGCTCAAAACATTTGTTAACGCGGATTTTACTAGCCACATACAAATTATTTTACCTCTAATCCGAAAGATGTGCTATTTTTCGTAATATTTATATTTAAATAATGTTTCTAATTATATTTGACAGATTTAAAACAAATTAAAAATTTAATTTCCCAAAACTTACTTAATATGGCATGTAACCAACCTTATTACGCCAAGGTTTTCAATTTTTTCAATAATAAAAAAATTGTTCAATCCGGGCCCGACTTTTCCCTCGAATCTAACAGAGATAGCACCATTCCGTCTTGCTTGGTTCTCGACCGCCAGATCAAAGACGCCGACACGGAGTTGTGGAGCTGTATTGTATAAGCTGTGGTTATAGTAAATTTAACTATATCCGCTTGAAAAAACAAATCAAAATAAAGTCAAACCAATGTTTGACATCAGTCATTAATAATTTAAATATTCTTTCTAAACAAAAGACAAGTTTTTTAAGTGTAATCTTTGTTGAACATTCTTTAGCTCATTGTCAAACATGATGTCATAAAAATGATATAACGCTGGCCATAAACTAATTTAGCATGAATTGTTTATTTAATTTTTTTTGGTAACGCATAATGGATACATCAAACAGAACAATATCTGGAAAATTTTATAAATAAAATTATTTTTTAAACATCGTAATTTTAAGTTTCTGTATTATTTTCCATTCAGCATTGATTTATAACATTTGCAGTAGATAATAATTTAAAAAGAACGTGTTATAATTATAATAACAGCTACAGGTCTGTTGTTATATTAAATACTTCAAATGCTTTTGAAAATTATTTATTATAGAGAAATGATAAGCGTATTTTAAAGAATGCGGTGTAGAGCTTTTCGAATTTTAAATATTATACGACTTAAAAAACAAAACTATGGATTCTTAATTTACAAAAAAAAAACTTAGAGATTGGAGGTCAAAAAGCAAACATGATATATAAACTTCTCCACGTGCCACAAAATTTTTTTTTGTCGAAAAAATATTACCTTAAATATTTGTTTTTTGTTCTCCTTTATTTTTTTTTCGGAAAATTCTTACAAACTTACATCAGATTTAGTCACATCCAGAGAATTTGGTCACTGGCGATTGAACAGTGTTAAATGACTGAAAAATACAGGGTGTTATTGAAATACACGTACATATTAAAATGGGGAATAGTATGTAATGACCAATTTTAACTTCAAATTCTAAAATTTAAATATTGGGGAAGAGTCCCCTTTTCCGACCTACTAGTTTCCATATTTAAAGAAGTAAAATAAATCGAAATTGAACTGACCCATAGAAATTGCACTGTTGCCGTAGCAAAACCAATTAATTCAAAATAAAGTTTATTACAGTAATTGTTCAAAATGCCGTCCATTATTATTTACACACACTTGCAATCGTCTTTCCAAAGAACTTTGAACATTAGAAATTAGTCTTGGATTTTGTCGTAGTTCCTCGGCTACCGCATTAACTTTATTGGTTAATTGTTCAACACTATTAATAGGTTCATTATAAACCAGTTGTTTCATGTGACCCCACAAAAAGAAATCGCATGGATTTAAGTCCGGAGATCTCGGAGACCACTTAGTAGGTCCATTTCTGCCTATCCACTTTTGAGGAAATCTAATGTTCAAAAACTGCCGTACGTTTAAATCAAAGTGAGGAGGAGCGCCATCTAGTAGGTACCACATCCGTTGCCTTAATTGTAACGGTATCTCTTCTAGGAGTACTGGCAAAATATCTTCTAAAAAGTGGAGATATCCTGGCCCATTTAATCTGTTCGGGAGAACATAAGGCCCGATTAAATACTGATCTATTATGCCAGCCCAAACATTTATTGAAAATTTTCTTTGATGCCCAGTTTCCCTAATGGCGTGAGGATTTTCATCACTCCAAATATGCGTATTGTGCCTATTGAACACGCCATCACGAGTGAATGAAGCCTCGTCAGTATACAATAATATTTTTAGAAAATCAAGAATATCAACACATTTTTGAATCATCCATTCACAAAACTCCACTCTCTTTTCTTTCTTTCTTTTTCTGGACTTTTTGGATGTGATAAGGATGTAAACCTTGTTCTTTAAGTGTCCGCCACACAACAAATGAGGACACTCCAATTTCAAGACCTAGTCTTCTACAACTTAATTGAGGCCGGTTTTTAACAGCTTCCAATATTTCTTCTTCGGCCGCCAATGTTCTTTGTGTTCTTGTTCTCCCTCGATCTGCATTGACACTCTCAAATTTTCCATGGTCTCTTAGATGCTGAACAGTTGAAATAAACGTACGACAGTCCGGAATTCTCCGATTTGGAAACCGTTCGCGATACAGAATTTGTGCTTGCCGAGAATTTTCTCCAGCTGCCCCATAAACCAGCACTATATCCGTTAGTTCAATATTCGTAAATAGTGGCATCGTAAAAAAATATTTAAAAGTAATCGTAACAACACTTTTTACAAACTTGGAAATGACGCGCTCGTGTTAGCCAGATTCGTAAATCAACTAAAATTTTAATAATCTATAGTTTCAAAAATGTATAGTTTAAAAACAATCATTTATCAAATATTCTAGTTTTTTGATAACGAGGGTAGTAAAAACCAGTCTTCGGAAATAGAAATTAATTCGAAAATCTTGGCAACATGGTTATTTCTTACAAGACTAGTTTTCTTATCATCTGACAAAAACTTGCATATTAATTACTGTTGATGTTTAAAATAGGTAAATAAACCTAATTTATATAGGTCATCCTCAACATATCAGTGAAGTATGTTTGTTTTAGAATTAATTTTCAAAAATTAATAACTCCCTTAATAAGGGGTATTTTTAAAAAATAATATTTTTCTACATTCAGTGGGGATCTGCGCAATACCCAGTTTTAATATGTACGTGTATTTCAATAACACCCTGTATTTAAGAATATTTTATAGTAGACATCTAAATCGACAATTTTTTTTTAGGATTTGGTATAATATTCATAACAACAGTATCATTTGCTTGGTTAAATGTGATGTGCTGTGACATATGGTTAACATTTGGGTAAGTATTTTATATACATTGAAGCAATGATGTGTTTATGAACCAAATTTATTTAATCTGCTATATTATACCTAGTAGAAAAAAAAAAAGAAAAATTGAAGTTACATTGCAATCACGATAATTGCACGTTTTATATTCTTGAATTATAAACGACAAATTATTATAGGTAAAATATCATGCATTGAAATGTTTTTTGAATAGAAATTATTTATCTTTTAATACCGGTTTAAATTTATTACTATAATTTTTATCATGAATCAATGAACAAGTTGATATGCTTTTAATATACCGATTTTTGCAAGCAAAATGTTCCAATTTATAGGGAGTGATGAAAATGAAAATATATTTATTGAAATAGGTAACCCTAAGATACAAACAATTTTTTTTTGTTACAAAACAATAACTTCAAAATACAAAAATCAGGAAAAAAAATGACAATTTTTGACTGAACAAAACAAAAAAACAATTAAAGTCCAAAATATTGTGACGAAAGTCTAATTTATTTTTAGTTTATTTATTTAAAAACACACTATTTACAATTAATTTCAAACGTACTATTTAATTTATATAATACTTAGACACTAACAATTCTAATTTATTTATTACACTTTAACTTTTCATTACAATGTTCTATATTCAACTAAACTGCACGCCGATACGTCGGCTATTTATATTAGTCCAACTCCGCTACTGGAAGACACGAGAGGCTCCCGAACATTCCATTTCTATGACTAAATGGCACTCTCCGCCATTCCAGCTGTTTCTAGTGCTTCAGCGGCAGGCATTCCTAAACATTTCGTCGCCTCGAGCACGTCGGTTTCCATCTGAAAGTCGAGCGTACACAGGGTAGGCTTTAAGAATTTCATGACATTGCCCCCTCCTTAAGAAATAGTTCCTCCTGGAACTAAAACTGAATGGTCATATTTGCAACTGGATCCTCTTTTACAATTTCGAGTTGCATATAAGTAACAAGGCACAGTCTTCGTTATAACCTGAACGCTGGGAGAATGGCGGCAGAGCAGTTTTTCAATCTGAGTATCTTGAAAGATTACTTCCACCATGTTTCTAATAATCCTCCAATTCAGCTGGTTGCTCTCCATCTTTGGCATAGCTAGTTTCTGTATATTGGACTCCAGTACATGCTCCCTCAGACCGAGTAATGCTTCCCATACATCCTGATAGGTGGATCGATCTCGGAAGGTGTTCTTTGTTACCAAATAGAAAAGATAATGCTATCCATCTAGAAGTTTTAATGCTTTTCCAGGGGATGGCAACTGATCTTGAAGTTCTGGCAATCGACCAAACTTCTTCCGGAATACAGATGCCAGACCGAGCGTCGTAGATGTTGGCGGAAGTGCTATGGATCAACAAGTAATCCTTTGGAACCATGAGCAGGTCTTGTTGTTGCTCGGTTGTAACACCATGTCTTGCTTTTCCTGTACCTCCATATGCACCCATAAATTCTTCAAAGACAAGGTCAGGTGTTTTTTGGAACTGGTTTACTTCTTCTTCCTCTTCATGGTCACCCTCAAATGGCGCCAGCCGGTTTTGGTACACTACCCTTGGTTTACCGTTCGGGATCTTACTTATACGGTAAATGACATCCCAAGACCTTTGAAGCTGCGGATATAATAATAACCCTTTTGTCTGAAATTCTTTATACATTTTATCCCTATCCTTTATTTTATAATGAATGTCATTAACAAACCATGGAACATTACTTTTATACTAGCAAACTTGTATAGGCAATACATTATTTATTACCGTTTGACAGTTCTTATAAAGTTCATCGTATATAGTATTTACATCAGTAGAATTTAAGTTCCAATTACATATTAAGTCGAGTTTAATTTTATCTAAGTTAGTTTTACTAAAGTTTCTATACATTTTAGTGGTAATATTTATGTCTTTGTTGTTATTAGTAAGATTAACAGATATTATAGAATGGTCACAAATTTTCGGAGTATGATGAACTGTAGCATTAACAAAATTATTATTAACTAATACATAATCTATCGAAGATTTACCACAGCTTAACAATACAGCTAAAACACTCTCTTGGCGGCAACGGTTTGCGTCGATTTCGTCGCGCATCGCTTAAGCTCCGCCTTCGAAGGGAAAAGACGGTTTTGGCGTTCAGAAGCGTACTTAGGCAAGGTGTTGAGTCGTGCGTATAATTTCGTTGATTGTATAATTTCGTGGAGCCTATAATTTTGTTGATTTTGTTTGAGTTAAAGGTACTGTTATTATTTTGGTGACTCTTTAGCTATGAGTAGAATGAATGAAAAAAAAGACATCATTCTGTTTGTGCAGTCAAAAGCTGTTTTAATAAGGGTTATACCTGCAAGAAAACATTCTTTAGTTTTCCCAAGGACCCAAACCGATAAGTACTACATTATAAGAAATTTTCATTGTTAAAAATATAATGTCTCATAGTGTCTCATAGTGTCTCATTAGTGCGTTATTGTTCATTATTTTGTTGTAGACACGCAAGAAAGTTTTAAATAAAAGTTATATGGATTTGAAAAATACCTACATATTTTAAAAATATCTTTGGATATACAGGGTGTCACGTTTTTGCCTGGAAAATTAAAATGTATGTTTTTTAAATGGAACACCTTGTATTTTATTTTATGATGAAATTATTAACACCCTAAATTATTGTAAAGACGAATTGCTACAGAAAATTTTTATCAGGTATGTGTGTGGTTACCTTTTAATAAAAGCCTTGCGGATCCACTCCTGCGATACCTGTCTTAAATATCACAAAGATCACGTTGAATTAGACGATTTTTCTTTTTATTGCTTTTAAAAGGCATATGATAACGCCAATTCAGATACATTTGGAAATCTGCAACTGTCAAATGATGAATTTGTAGAACTAATATTCAATATTGAAAAGATATTTTAAAATAATTTTGAAGAATTGGCTACAAAAAATAACATTTGTACCACACTTTTAGAATTAATTAACCCAATACCCTTTAGTCATCCATGCTAACGTTTTCCAAAAGAATAACTTATTTTATTGTATGTTTAATCTCAATAACTAAATAATATACTGACAATTCTGACAATTAGTTTGACAGAATTGTCATTTATTTAAAATTTTAAAAATAATAGCAGTCGGTTGATCAAAATATGAACGGTGATTGGCGAATTTATTTTTTTTTGCAGTGTTCTCACTACCTAGAATGGATATGAAATATATTCGTTCAATTGAAGGCAATAGCATACTTTTTCGTTTTGTAATCTGTGCATGGATATTAGCCAATCTACGCACATACTACAAAACGAAAAATTATGTTATTGCGTTCAACTACGAATATATTTCATATCCATTTTAGGTAGTGAGAACACTTTAACAAAATTAAATCTACAAATCACAGTTCATATTTTGGTCACCCAACTCCTATTATTTAAAAATTTTTAAATAAGTGATAATTCTGTTAAACTAATTGTCAATATATATTTTAGTTATTGATATTAAATATACATTAAAATTTTTGTGTAGACTCGATAAATAATAGCATTTTTATTTTTATTATGTCCACATTTAAAAAAAAATAAATTTTAATCAAACTACATGATACTAATTTAATTACGAGTATTAAAACTAAAGTCCTGAAAGTTTCGGTGAAGATGAGGACAGAACATCTGCCTTCCATGCGAAAAGCCCGGGATCGAATCTAGGCCGAGGACTAATTAATTTTTCATGTTTATTTTTTTTTTATAAATTAGTCAACTTCGTAAATTATTTTAAAATTAGTTATTTTGTCTAAATAACCTAAAATAATTTTTTAAATTTGTAGATTTTCGTTAGTGGGTCGTAGAAAAAATATACTGACCATATCGAGTGGATTGTTCATATCACAATCAGACGATTGAGTACTCCGCCTCGACGTCGTGCTCAAACTTCGTCTTTGTGTGATATGGCTATCATATCCACCCTTGTTGAACAAACTACAATTTATTTGTTTTCTTGGTTTAAGTTTTACATCAGAAATAAGAAATAAATTAATTTACTTTTCAAGTTTTCTTGTAAAAATCGATATTACTTTCTCCAAGTACAAATTTAGTACCTACCTAAAATAAGTACTAATTATGTAATATCGTGTAATATTGTAATTCAAATTTCACATTACTATAAAGTTTCAAAATTCCCTACTTCGGTATGGTCAGATAAAAATTGAATATATTATATTAATAAAAACTGTTAAAGTATTACTTCTACAAATCTGTATTTCAATTAATAAGAATACATCTAAATATAACCAATATTGTTAAAATAAAAGCACAAATTCTTTATAATTCCAAAATACCATAGAGTTCCCAGACCTCAGTCGAAGCATTCGTTTATCTAGGTATAAATCCTTTGCGCGAAGAGTAACACTTGCCAGAGACACGGGGTACCACTTGATTTGCATCCACGAGCGTGACACATTTCTTTAACAATTGAAGCCCTTGGTGTAAAAAGGATCCAAGTCACAATTTGTCGTGAAGTGACTGTTTTAGCTCAAAACATTTGTTAACGAGGATTTTACTAGCCACATACAAATTATTTTACCTCTAATCCGAAAGATGTGCTATTTTTCGTAATATTTATATTTAAATAATTTTTTTAATTATATTTGACAGATTTAAAACAAATTAAAAATTTAATTTCCCAAAACTTACTTAACATGGCATGTAACCAACCTTATTACGTCAAGGTTTTCAATTTTTTCAATAATAAAAAAATTGCTTAATCCGGGCCCGACTTTTCCCTTTAATCTAACAGAGATAGCACCATTCCGTCTTGCTTGGTTCTCGACCGCCAGATCAAAGACGCCGACACGGAGTTGTGGAGCTGTATTGTATAAGCTGTGGTTTTACTATTATTTGTAATTCGTCAAACATTTACAAATATTAAAAGGAGATGTCATGAAAATAGGCAGATTTAAATCAAGTAATATGGATCGAGGGCAAACGGGTACGACAAAAACTGTAGACATTGAGGA